ACTTCAGATAGCCTGTACTAAAGTCTTCCTGCTCATTTCTCTTTCTTATTCATACCTAAGAAATATTCAACAAACACTTTTTGGGGTTTTAAAGAAATGTCTTTGTTCAGGAAAGAAGCTTTTATTATTTGTAGACAAGATAGAGCACTATTGAACTTGATTCAATAGGCACTCCTAAATTACCTTAGTATTTCAAGATGTGCTTGCCCCGAAGTATCTTTGTTTTGTCATTTTTGTCTCAATGTTTTAGAAATTCTAGAAAGCATATTTTCTGTGTCCTATCCTATGTTTTCTTTGAGCTGAATTATTTATAGATAATTAGAAAGTATAGAAATTATATCCATAAAGCTAGGCATGGTGGCACACACCTGTAACCCCAGCAGCTAGGGAGGCTGAGACAGGAGAATCAGAGTTCAAAGCCAGGCACTAAGCAACTCGGTCAGACCCTGTCTCTAAATAAAATACAAAATAGGTCTGGGGTTGTGGCTTAGTGGTCAAGTGCCCCTGAGTTCAATCCCTAGTATTCAAAACAACAACAACAAAATTAGATCCATGAAATATGACCAGTAATTAATTCTTTTTTTAAAAAAAAACAACCTTGAAATTAAAGAATTAAATAGATTCAAAATCCAAAATCATTTAGGAAACGTTCTTTTCCCTAAATGGGCTTTTTTTTTTTTTTTTTAAATACCAGGGATTGAACCCAGGGGCACTTTACTACTGAGCTACATCTCCAGTCCTTTTTATTTTTTATTTTGAGGCAGAGCCTTGCTAAATTACTTGGGGCTTTGCTAAATTGCTGGGACTGGCATCAAGCTTGTGATCTTCCTGCCTCAGCCTGGATGTCACTGGGATTACAGGCATGTGCCACTGCACCCAGCCCTAAGTGGGCATTTGTAATATATTTAATAATTTACTCAAATTCAAATAGTTTAGTTTGATTTTAAAATTATTCATTACTTTTTCCTAAGATAAATACTTATAACACATCTTATTTTTGTTTATTATCAGCTGTCAAATAAAGGAAAATGCAGTAGAAAGACTCATGTTTCAAATAAAGAAGCTTAGGGAAAAGAACCAGAAGTATCATGAAAGGGTGAGTATAAAACTTAGAGCTAGCTTCATGTAGTTATTAAAAATGTACATGCATGCCATGAAAAATTGTGAATTATGGTGAAATACATCCTAGGAAATTATCTTCTTCAAAGCTTGTAATTGATTTATAATTCACATAAGTTCTTTGTATATGTGAGAGAAGAGGGTTCCTATTGTATTGATTATAATGTTAGCTTAATAATGTCATTTTGATCATAAGGACAACAGTTTAAAATTTTAAAGCTTTGAAAGCACATTTTACCTTTTGACTTCTTATTTAATCAAACTATAAACAGTGTTTCTCTATTTGCAATATCTGAATCTTTTAGATTTTTGGTGTTCGTGTTTTATATATCAATACCTTTTTAAAAGTATGATCTTGATTATTAAAATGACTAATTGGACATTTAAGGTGGCACATTTTATAAAATCAGATTAAAATGAGTATCAAAGGGGTTTGAGATACGTTTATCAGGACTCAAGATCAACAGAAGTAAGATTTGGAAGTAGCAAATTATAACTAGCACAACTTACTCCTCAAAGTATCTCATGAATGAGGAAATACTAAGGGTATTTGCATATTTATTTTTTATAGGAGTGAAACTTCCACAGTTAACTGCTTTATTTGGCTTTTCTTTACAAATGCTATATCTTCAAACTTTAATGCAACCTGAAGTCAGAGATAGAAACCTGAGCTTGCATTGTGACTGTACAACTTACTGGTGATATCTTTTTAGCCAAAGTTGCTATGAACCTCAATTTCCCTCTTACAAAACAGGGATTGCTCTTTCTCCCCCAGGGTTAATTTTTTTCATTCATTCAGCAAATGTTTATTGGACAAGTCCTGGTGGTGATACAGCTATGTCTCTAATACTGTCACAATTCTCTAGGATCTGTATCTTTTGGGGGAGGGCAGGTAAAAGTGATTGAACACAGGGGTGCTTAATCACTGAGCAACATCCCAGCCCTTTTATTCTATTTAGAAGCAGGTCTCACTGATTTGCTTAGGGCCTCACTAAGTTGCTGAGGCTGGCTTTGAACTCATGCTCCTGCTGCCTCAGCCTTCAAAGCTGCTGGGATTATAGGCATGCACCACCACATCTGGCAAGGATCAGTATTTCTAATAGGGACTAAAACAGAAGCAGGTCTATGGCTAAAGGTGGAGAGGAAAAATCTGGTCTGGGTGCTTGGATACTGGTTCCATATATGAGATCCAAAGCCCAAAGAGGAGAGAGCTTCCATCAAGAGATCAATGCACATCCTCTAGTGGTCAGCAATGGGGCTCCAAGGACAGGACTAGGTTATGGAAAGTACAACAGATCAGGACAGAGTCATCTCTTTGCCCATTAGCCCATCATTTAGAGGGTTAAACAGATGAAGTTCTTGTTTCCAAGATGATTAGCTTAAGAATGAGACTGACCAAAGTGTGCACATTAGAAGACCCATCAGGGAGGAGCAATGAAGGGACAGACTCTAGCTCCAACTGAATGTATCTGAACGTCAACATTTCTTTCCACTTCTGTGGCTGATGCCCCAATCTAAGACATCATCATCTCTTGCCCATCCTTACCCCTCCAGTACAATTTCCACATGCAACCAGAATTACCCTGTAAACCTTCCTATGCTTAAAACCCTTGAGTGACTTCCAGTGAAAAATAAAATCTATCAACCTTACTAAAAATCTTCAGGGCCCTGGAAAAACCTGACCCCTGCTCACCTCTAAACTTATCTCCAGCTGATTCATCCTTTGCTGATGATTGCTCCTTTTAAATCTTGGAAAAGCAATCTCTCTCTTTTTTCTTTTCTTTTTTTTTTTTTTTTTTGGTACTCCATTCTTTCTTTCCTCAGCAAACTTTCTTTCTCTTTTGTTTCCTTTTTTGTTGTAGTGTTTATGACTCTTCAAAAGAAATAACATTAGCAATTTAAATCATTTTGTAGTACATGTTCTTTTATTTTTCTTGGTAGATTTCATCCCTCAGATTATATATATATATATATATATATATATATAT